TCTGAAATGGAGGAGGATACTGATGATGACATTCCCCTGCTGTCAGGTGATACTTTTCTGGACGGCTAAAAGCTTGTTTCCTATCACATACATGTTTTCTTCTTTTGCGAAAATTTGTTTTCAGTTGTGTCAGACGTTACTCATTTCTGATTCTTATTTGTCTGGCATTGGTGTCAAGCCTCTGAACTTTAGAAACCATGTAACCTTTTTGTTTGCTTAGACCGCAGTTATCTATGTGTTGCATAGTTTTTAATTACTCCCTAAGTAGAGTTTGAAATCTTCTCCTTTCAGGATCTGGGCGTCATTCAGAGCAACACAATACTTTTAGTGGACACATGTCAGAAGAAGATGAAAGCACCAGCAGTGAGGAAGATCATTATGAGTCATCCATTTCTGGTGACTCTTCTTACCTTTATCCTCACGGTGAAGCTGGAACTGTTTCCAAGTGGCAGCTCAAGGGGAAAAGAAACATGCGCAATCTTCCAAGACGGTCTGCACGTAAGAGAGAAATGCATCGTAATCGTCTGGAAGATGGAAGATATTGTGACTATGAAAGAAGGGCATTTGGCCAAAAGCCTATGGGGTATGGATTAGATTTTAATGGGGCAACTGATGTGAGCGATGAAACTGATGACACTGATCCCAACGAAAGGCAGTTCGGGGACAGAATGATTGGACAAGGTGATGATGATTATCAGCTCCCAACTATGGTGGCATCTGGATGTAAAAACATCTACAGCCATGACATGCTGGACTGGGATGATGATCCTTGGGAAGGCCATATTGGTACGAAGAAGCGACAGGAGGAAAAAAATGAAGGTTTAGGTCAGGAGTTTGATGCTTCTCATCGACATTTGGGCAGAAAAACACATTCTCCATTGATGGATGTGGATTTAGAAGTGCGAGGAAGCTATCAGAAAGGGCCTGTCCCAATTGTCTCTCTTATGAGTAAGTTGAATGGCAGAGCAATAATTGGACATCCAGTCGAAATCGAAGTCTTGGCAGATGGTTCCTCGGAGTCATATATTCAGACAGTTGACTACTTTGGTAATGAAACAACTTACCATGACAAACCCTTTCTACTTCCCCATGCTTGGAAGACTGCAAGAAGGAGTAATTCACGGGTTCCACGGCTGCATCCATTCTCATCATCACTCGAACCTGATGATGAGGATCATTCTCTGGTGTATCAGGGAAGAAAACCACAGGTTAAGAAACTAGGTTTTGGAAATTTGAGTAATGATGATAACTCTCTGAGGAGAAACAGTTCACTGCGAATTCCACGACCACCTGGAGAGAGGA